ATGAGGTAAAAGTACAACAAAAAATGTTGTGCCCATTCACATAGTGAGACAAGGAACTATGTAACTCACATAATGTTTCCAACTCTAGGTATATGGCGGAAGCAAAAATGTACCATCATACCAAATTGAATGTGGAGCCCAAACATGAGGTTTTGTCAAGTGCACCAGCAAAGCAAGATGAAAGCAATGACAAGGAAAACAAAGACAATCAAGACAGTGACAACAGCGATGAAATTTCTGGCGATGCAATGGACCTAAATGAGGCCTCGTTTGGGAACAGGCTAATTTAGTAACTTTTTGGCTATTTGGCTAAAATATGAGCTAAAAAAAACTAGTATGTTTTGGATGAATTTTTGACTTTTTACGAAAAGATGTGCAAAAAGGAGAGAGAAAAGAGAATTTTTGACTTTTTGGTATGGGTTGTTGGCTTTTTGGCTAATTTAGTAACTTTTTAGCTTTTTGGCTAAAAATGAGGGTTCCCAAACGAGGCTTGATGTTAAAGATGACATCAACATCAACTTTAACAACCCCAATGCTGAGAAAGGTATCATCATAGCACAACCAAGTGAAATGGACAATGTGGATGTGCTTATAAAAGAAAACCAAAAAGCCTGGGGTCTCGTATGACAATGGGAAGCAAAATACAAACAGTTAGAAGAATCGTGGGAGTTGAGGGTAAGGTGATTGCTACCCTTAAAGCCAAATTATTCGACCAATTGGGCCCATCCAATATGGACATGGACATCAAGAATTGCATAGAGTGGAAAGATATAGAAATTTAGCGGTTGACAAAATTGGTCATCAACCTGGAATGTGAAAAAACAATTCTTCAAGACCTTTACGATGATTAGTCCATCCACATTATCACGCAAGTCGAAGCACAAAAGGCTCATGACAGCCTTAAGAAGCATCTCATTGCAACACTGGAACACATTCTCAACCCATTATCTAGGGTAAAGCGCATCAAGTAGAAAATAAGGAAAGAGCACCGCTTGGATGAGTTTCAATACCCCGACTTGCCTGGTCAAAAGAAAGAGAAAGAGGGAGCTGAAGAGCAATCCTATGGAGTCCAAATTGTACAAGATTTAGACAAACATCCACAGAAAAAGCACCCAACAAAGTACAAGAAGTTAACATTGACCAACAAACTGAAGGTTTGGGCCAACATGAGCAAACTCAACAAGCAGAACGTCCAAAATTTGCACAAGAATGCCAGTGATGAGTAAGTGATCATACATATTCAGATTGAATTTATTTTTATGATCATGTTAAGCTTCGCATATGTACTTAATAGATTAGATCATTTTATAATTGTGCAACGTTAACATTCACATTTTCTATAATCACAATGTACAGGTTACTTGTGTGACGAGGGGACTCAAAGACTAGAAATGTGTATTTTGTTGACATCATACACATCATCAAGGAAGAATCAATACACAACTACATATGGCACTCGCAAATGTGTACAAAACACACACACACACACACACACACACACACACACACACACACACACACACTGTAAAGACACTAGAAATAATGTACTGTCACCCCTCTGTTTGTGCAGGTGATAGATGTATATGGTGAAATTCTACTCAAACTACAAGGGCTGGTTAACCCAACTTTGGAGGATTCGACATTCATCTTTATAAGCACATATTTGGTAACAACTACATTTTTGGTTTGTTTATGTTTGATGTTGATGAGAATGTTCACATGAACAGTATTTGATTTCCATGTTCCATAGATGTGAATGTTCATCTCAACATTATATGCTTATATTGTCAACTTAAATGCTAGATAGATATGAACGTTAACAACAACATAATATGATATGTGTGAACATTCACATTGATAGATGTGAACATTCATATCATTCACAGTGAACATTCATGTATTGGGAAGTTTGAGAAATTAACAAGTGTGAACATTCACATCTGTAATACATTATAGGACTGTACGGGAAAGAAATAACCTTTCTCGTATAATCCTGTTGACCAAGTCTGCACTCCTCCGTACGACGTCGCCTTATCACCTGAAAACACAAACGTGAGCTAGCCGGCGGGTGTGTGCCGGAAACCTCTCCGATTCCTAAGTCAGCAAACCTGACAAATAGACAAAGCTCCATGTATTCAGAAAACAAAGTTGTGTGTTACCTCTCCAAAGGTGATGTTTGTGAGCTTTTATAGGTTTCGTGTGGCATAATCCTAGTAGGACTTCTACTCCTCCATGCAGAGTCCTCCTAGGATTCATACTCCTGAAAGATAATGCTTATCCTTCAACACCCCCCTCACTGCTTAAACAAAGTGAGATGGTCTTTACCATGGCCGAACTACAACATGACCAAAATAAAACTGGCTATGCTGAGCCACAGAGTAGGCCGAACTATCCTTAGTTCGGTTCTTCCTTTTATTCCTCCTTATCTCGGTTCTCTCCTGTACAACCCATGGTGTGTTTAGACCGAGCTTCCAAGTAGCAAAGTTCTGACCGTTCTAAACATAATACGTTATGACCGGACTAACTCTGAGACCGGCCTAACTCCAAATTGCTTCCAAACCGAAGTAACTTTACATTTCTTCTGGGCCGGAGTAATCTTTTACCTCTCTTGGGACGGAGTAATTTTACAGCCTTTTTACCCAGCCCTTCGTACTTTGGGCCATAATGTCCATCCCATAGCTCGGCCCAATTTTCATCAAAATTGCCCTCTCAAGGACTATTTGACAAATTAACAGATGTGAACATTCACATCATTCACAGTGAACATTGATATAAATACTTGGTACATCATTGTATGCCCATTGTGTGTAGAAAGTCATGCAAGAGTAACCCCCACAGGAGAAATAAACTGATTAATGTATATATCAATGACTATCAAGGCCAAAGATACTTCATCTTTCCAATACACCACAATTTCCACTGAACGATTGTTGTGTACGACATCAAAGACAATCTATGGAGGCATTATAACTTGGTCCAAGACCTAGTATACATGACCCATATATTAACAAAGCACAAATAGTGGTAAGTGGTTGACACATATAATACTTGTCATGATATGTATTATTTGAACTTGGACGTATGCACTATGTTGCTTTGTGCATAATATGAAATTTCATTGTTCCCTCCAAAGCAGAGGGACTACATCGAGGATGTGGTGCGCAACATCGGACCATCATCACCACTATGGACCAAATTATCAGGCCAAATTCCATTGCAACCAATCGTATCAGTAGACGTCTATCCTCAGTAAGTATCAGATTCGTAAGCCTGAAATCAATTTGTACACATTTTCTACAACCATTATACATAATTAAATTCCTAAATCTAACAACAACAACTTTGCATTTTCAGGGTGGATTGCGGGCTCGCAGTGTGTTACATCATGAGGGTGCATGTATACTATGAGAAAATTGTTGACAGCCTAAATCACTCTGAATGGTATCAAATAAGAGACTCATCAGTACACCTTTTTTTGAATCACAGAAAGACAGTGCAATGTGAAAACCTATAGGTGGGGAGTGTCCACCTATCACTGTTACCCGAAACTGTTATCTACATTTAAGACAATTTAGTGTCAATAGATTTGACATATTGGAGCAGACTAACTTGATTGTAAATCAATTCTATATCACTACTTGTACTGTTATTTTTCATTTAATATATGTATATGCATTTTGAGGCCAATTTCACGTTGATCATGCACATTGAGATTGTATTTTTTTTTTTAACACACGACATAATGTGAATTTCCACATCACGGAAGGATCATACACATTCTTATGTTTAAAAGCCTTACTACATGGATATGAATATTGCTTAAAGTGTTATTGTAACAGAATATGACAGGTGTGAATATGATATTTCTTAACACATAAGTCAATATTCACAGCTAATAATTTAATGATATGAATATTCACATCATAACTTTTGATGATGTGAATGGCAGCAACGATGTCAATATTCACACCACACCCATGCATACATCATAATATACACAGGAGCATCTTATTTTTGCTAGCAACAAACACTCACAATTACATTTCGTAATACATAACTGAATATTCACATCTTCTGATTTGATAATGTGAATGGTTACATTGATGTAAATGTTCAGGTCATCTACTTTGATGTTATCAACGATAACAAGAATGTGAATATTCACACCACAATAATGTTAAAAATTTCAACCCATGTGCAATTATTCACATAATGTGATTATCTTACACAAGTGTGAATATTCATATCATGTATTCATCCTTAACACACCAACAAAAAATGTCAGTTTGCTACCTAAAAAAAAAAAAAAACACAAATCAAATACTATGCATTATTAGCTTTGCCAATGCATTATTATGTTTGCCAACGCAATGTAATCTTATTGCAACACAATATTTGCCAACATAACACAATCTTATTTCCAAAATCAATATAAGAATCCTATGTAAAATACAATGTTGAAATGAAAAAATGTATACCCTATATCGGCTCCTTGCATGATTTCCGATTGTGATTTCCCAACCTATCACATCTCTCGCATCTTATTTACTTCAGTTTCTCACCCCTTGATGGGATTTTATTCTTTTTTGGCCTTCCGGGTGGTCTTTTTACAATTGGTGGGTATATAGTGAAGTCCGTGGGATCAAAAGGCGGCTTTTCCACCATGGTATAGAGATAATGGCACCCAAATAGGCTGCACGATATGTCTCTACATGAAAGTAATGTTGCACACAATCATTGAGATTGTAGCCACTCTTCTGAATAGCAATAACAACATGGTCACATGGGAATCCATTGATTTGCCATTTGAAGCAAGAACACGTATGCCTTGCAATATCAATTGTAACAAATGGTATCGAATAAACTTCAAACACATCCTCATTGGCTTTGTTAACTTGCCAAGACCTGCTGTCGTTGAACGAATTAAGAAGCATTGTTTCGAATGTAAGACAAATAAGCTCATTCCACTTATTTGCTTGGTCATGCCGTGCAGACATTTGTCACATCAACTGAGTACGAATTGTGTCCATCATTTGAGTGATAGGAAGATTGCGAGCTTCTTTAATCCAATTATTAAATGATTCTGCCGCATTGGATGTCATCTTCCCATAACGCATGTCCCTACATAACATCACAAACATTGTACAATACTGAATTTAATTTCTTTGAAACTGAATATGAAATTTCAAATCGCCACAAAACATAACTAAAAATTCACATCGTTACCATTCTAAACTTGACAAATATAATACATTAAAAACTACTATTACCTGAAGTATGAATTTGCCCAGTGCTCAGGTGCCAAGTCCTTGAAAAAATTATGCACTCGTTGCTTACCCTCCGCTTTTAATTTCTTAAACTTTTCATGAAACTCTACCACAGTTGGCTCGTAAGCACAGTCACCCAAACTACTAACGAGGTGATCCTTAAATCCATTATCAATTCCCTTCATCCGGTCTCTTAAGTTGTTCTTCAAGTGTTGTAAGCAATAACCATGGTGAACAAATGGGAACACCTTCGGCATCACTTCTAATAGACCAAGATTACAGTCCGAAATAAAAGTAATTTGACGCTTACCATCAACAACCTTGCCAAGTTTGTGCAAGAACCACAACCAATTGGCTATGGTCTCTGAATCAACAATCGCAAATGCAACAGGAAATAAACATACAATGCAACACCATTAAACAATTGTTCACAATATTCCAATGTGAATAGTAACACAAGTAGTTTAAAAACACACTATAAAGGAAACAGGTCATGTGAATGTTTATATTTACATTGCCCTATTACTATTGTTGTTTTTGGATTTGATTTCGTAAACATCAATGATGTGAACATTCACATTATTGTTTATTAATGGATAAACTCACATTAGTAGACACTGGTGTAAACATTCACATCAATGTATAATAATGTGAATATTCACATTACTGTTAATTTCTCAATTAGTCATATTATGTTGTTGTTCACATCAATGTGTATTGATGTAAACATTGACACCAGTGTAAATATGGAACGCAATGTGTAATCATCTATCATATGTCCACACTATGCCACTCAATGTGAATATTTACATAAATAGACAGCTCCAAAAAATATTAACCATTGTTTCCATCTTTCGCCGTTGCCGCAAGTAGCTGACCTTTGTACTTTCCTTTGAGGAATGTTCCATCCAGGAATAAGAAAGGTCGACAAGAATTGAACCTAGAAATACATGCAGTGAATGATACAAAGAAACAACAAAACTGTTGACTACTCGAATCATAGTCAATATTGACATAACTCCCCGAATTGTAACGCATCACAGCATCCGAATACCACCACAGCTGGTCAAACGATAATAAGTGATCTCCAAGAATAATAGCCTTTGCTTTCTCTACGCCCAACCATACCACGTGGTAACTCATATCTAGCCCATAATCCTTCTTCAAAATAGTCACCACCTCACACGGTCGAGTCAACGGCTTGTCCCTCACAATTTCAGATATAGTACTCAACACCAAATTAGAACTAACTCTCGAATTCTTCGATGTTTGGACATCTGCACCACAACTATGTACATCACTGAACCTCTTGATGTAGAAAAAACTATTTGCTCATTGTCCTCTACAATGTATAGCCCACAAGCAGCCTCTCTCCTTGCGCATTGCACACACCGCAGTAACCCTTGTTGTCTCGTTCTTGACATATGTAAACTGAAACCCACATTGGATGGCATACTTACATAAAACATCACGAAATTCTTGTGTACCTCCAACAAATTGTTATCCCGCATGCGTAATACCATTTGCCCAAGGGGATGACAACAACACCTTCTCCTTATGGTGGCAAAATCTACGTAGTGCATCAATTTCATCCTCACCACCCACAAGCAGCAACCTAGAGCTACTTGACTGACCAATATCACTTTTCAACTCAACGACAACTTCTACATGTTGTACCTCCATTGATTTAGCAAGCAATAACATGTTCTGAAATTCTTCCTCATTGTCCAAATCACACCTGTTAATCCTAGGTAGCCAACAGAACAATGAAATAGAACCAGCAGACAACTTATCCCATTTTTCACATAAACACTCCACCAAACGCGAATAACACAATGTGCGGGCAACATTTATTACAGTTATACTGCAACCATATGTGCACACCAATATCATAAAGGTATCTATCTCCTGTAAAAACACAATAATACAACAGTCAACAATAATCTAAATGATATGAAAATTTACATTGTGCAAAATTAAATACCTATGTGTACAGTTCAAGTGCTAAATCTATAATGAAAACTATCACCACCATCTTTACACAACATAAAACATTTTATAATATCAAAATCACACCACCACAATAAGGTGACAGTACACAACATGCAAGCAACCCTCCATAACTTCATATTAACAAGATGTGAACATTCATATTGTTGCATATACTCTGAATTTTCTCGCCCACACAGAGCCTCATTAAGCAAACATCAAAGTAAAATAAGAACATCCACATTGTTCACATAATCTAAATAACCTCCCTTCCATAGGACTACGTAAAATGCATATAATTGAACAAACAGAGCATCTGATCCATATCAATCAAAAAACAGAGCATCTCATCCATCATATAAATCAAAACATAAACTGAACATGTATTCATAACCAAAATGATACTAACCTTAATCATGCAATCCTACACTCGTCCTATAACTCGAAAACAATTGATTTCAACTAGTTATACTCCAGAAAATGTCACAACCGAACATCATCCAATCTGTCGTCTTCACTCGAAAATCATCGAACCATACTACAACAGCAACAATGAAACCCTAGCACATCAAAGCCTTGAAACAAGCATGCAAAATAGAAACGTATCAATCTGAATTAGAATGATAATCAAAAGCGTGAAAATAGAAACTACCGAAATAGAATAAACGAAAAAAAAGGCAACGTGGTATGTGTATGTATATATATATATATATATAAAGACATAATAGTCCAGTTAAAAATATAAAATTAGTAAAATGGACCTCATGGAATAAAAAGAAAAGTATATGGGACTAATCAGGTTATAATAATCCTCTGTGAACCTAATGGGTATAACAACTCTAAAATGGATTTATCACTAAAAATCTCATATTTTTTTAAAATGTGTATCATATGTACTTTTTGTTATTATTATCTTTATGTATGATGACCTATCGTTGTGGTGATGTTAATTATGATATATTGTAATATTAGTTATGATATTATTTTAATTATGAATCAAGAATTCTTTATTATACCTCATATGATGTTTAATTATAATTTAATTTTTTTAATTATAATTCTTATAATATTAAATTATATCATTTGTAATAAATAAATTTATAAATAACATAAGTTGGTACACACCTTATAAAATTTTCCTTTTTGAAAAATTTAAAAAGGAAGTCAACTTCTTACTCTACTGCCACACTAAATTTTTTTTTTAATGGGGAAAAATATATAAATCCATACAAAACCAGCAGACCCAAGAGCATAGACCAACCACCCCCATTCTACTACATTAAACTCTAATCTCATTTTTATTAAATGTTAATTAATAAATAAAAAAATACAACATCACATCATTTTGATCACGGTATATAAAATGATAAACAAGTAGCTATTTTAGCCACAACATTCTACCGTATGGTCCGTTTGGGAAGATGATTTGTGGCTAAAATAGTCACAAAAGACAAAATAAGTTATTTTAGTCGCAACAAACAAAACATCACATCCAACCCATAATCATTACACTCTTTTTTCACAAAAAAAGTCAAAAAAGCTAAAAAGTCAAAAAGCCCTTCCCAAACCAAACTTTTTAGCCAATGCTAAAATAGTTTAAAAAATCAAAAAATCAAAAAACCAACCCACTTTCCAAACCAACCCTACATACCCTTAGCATCATCAGATGGGATGCTCTCGCAATCAAATAAAAAGTTAATTTTTTATTTTTTATTTACTTTAGGTTATATTATTTTTTATTAAAAAGATAAAATAGATTAAAAAAGTTAAAAAATTAATTTTTTGCCAATTTCTCAAAATACTACATAATTAATTGATTACAAACAGAAGGAGAGGGATTGATAAAAAAAAATTCAAATGTAGCTCCTCTCCTAAGTTTGCAAGCAAATCCGTACCACTATTCAGTGTATTTGGTTTTAATTTTTTAAATTTAAAATTTTCAAAATCAAGTTTTTTATTTTTTGTATTTTTTTTTATTTTTAGTGAATATTTTTAAAATTTTAATTATTTTTTTATTAAACTTTTTTAGATGCACCTTATTTAGAAATATCTAAAAAAATATTTGTAAAAAAATATTTTAAAAAATTAATAAATACATAAGAATATAAAAAACATTCTAAATTCTCGCATTTTTTATATTTTTAATATTTAGTGAATTTTTTATAATTTTTTCACAAATATTATACTTTTATGTGTATATATATTAGGTGTATCCAAAAACTTTAAAAATTGCTTAAAATATTAAAAAAATGCAGTAAAAATTAAATAAAAAAACATGGAAAATAAAAAATTAAAATTTTTTAAAAAGTGAATCCTGAAAATCCAAACCAAACAAGCTAATTGACTTTCCGAAAGATATGCTTAACCTTCGTTTGAGAAGTAGGTTGGCTTTTTAGTTTTTTGACTTTTTGACTATTTTACACTACAGGAAAATGAGGATTTAACGGCGTTTAATTAACGACGTTTTATTAAACGTCACTTTTTTTTTTATAATTAACGGCGTTTTTTAAACGTCGCCTTTGTTGTTAGGTAAAACGGTACCGTTTTGTAAATAGAAGACGTTTAAAAAGCGCCTCCAAACCCTGTCTCTCTTCACACCCTCTTCCCTGTCTCTCTTCACACCCTCTTCTATCTCTTTAAACTTATATTTTGAAAACCCTATTTTGAGCACCGCCGTCTCCTTCTCACTCACTCACTCTTTGCTCTCTCTCTCTCTCTCAATTCTTCTTCGGTTCAGTGATTCTTCTTCAATTCTTCTTCAGTTCGGTGATTCATCTCGGAATTGCGATTTCGAAGTTTGGTTTTGAGCATAGATCAGTGATTCATCTCCGTGGATTTGGAACTCTTCGTCTTCTTCAATCAGAGGTTAGTTCCTCCCTCTTTCTCTCACTTAAATCTCTCTCGATTCTTCTTCAGTTCAGTGATTCTTCTTCGATTTTTCTTCAATTCGGTGATTCATCTCGGATTGCGATTTCGAAGTTTGATTTTTGAGCATAGCTCCGTGATTTATCTCCGTGGATTTGGAACTCTTCGTCTTCTTCGATCAGAGGTTAGTTACTCTCTATTTCTCTCACTCAAATACAAGATCTTGAGGTATGTGCTTTTGAGCATTCAGCGGATGGTTTCTTGCTTTGCTGTTGGATCTCTCTGAATTTGGCAGGTTCCTTGATTGTTTCTATGCCACAAAATGATCTTATGAAGTATTTCAGAGAGGATTTGCATAGAAGGCTTCTAAGCACAGACTTCAAGAAGCAAATTGATGGAATTGAGATGCTGCATAAGGTGCTTTTTTGTGTTACACATTTGTGGTGATTTGGATTTACTCTAAATATGTGAATGGCCTACCTAATTCTAGCTTTGTCAGAATTCAATCTGTTCTGTTTTTTTGCTTTCTTTCTTTCCATTTTTTTTCTATATATATATTTTTTGGGGAGAGAGATATTGCAGTGTTTATAACATAGATTGACCTTTTCTTTAGTATCAGTATGTTGTTTCTGGGTTAGGCCCTATATAAATTGTTATGGATCTGTTTGCCTCTTCCTTTTTTTTTTTGGTTTGGATTTGCCAGGCTATGTTTGGAGGTTAGAACTTGGCCCAAAGTTTTCCCCGTGTTGAGATGCTTTCATTTTTATTTGTTTAATGCTAATTTTTAACTACCACCATTACTTGTGTTTGAATTTTCTTAGTTTGGTTATCATGACATCAGGATTTTCAAACATATTTTTGAATTTTTGCCTTCTTCGTTTATTGCAGTCTGGACATAACATTGAGTAAGTACGAGAAAAAATGCGAAAATTGATTAAACAAATCATTCATGCATTTTCAGCAGCAAAAACTTTTCCTTATGTCTTGGAGGGTTTGCGTTCTAGAAACAATCGAACCCGGATTGTGTGTGTGGATCTTGTTGGATTCTTAATTGATAACCATGGAGCATAGGTAAAATATGGAATGCTATTTGATCTTTTTTCTTCTTTGAAAGGTACTGATTCTTCTATAATTTGCCTACAGATTGTGGGACAGTTGAAATCCTTGCAGCTTGTTGCAAGCCTAACAGCAGAAACGAGATGGTGAAATTCGGAAGGTTGCTTTAAATACTCTAGCTACAGGTTATAAGATCTTTAGTGAGTTCTGCTCTTATCAAGCTGTATACTTTATTTGGTGTTTGGTTTCTCGGAATACACAAGGGCTTGAAGTTTTAAATCCTGCTTAATTTTTAATTGATTGCTTCTAGGTCTTGTGTTTGTTTTAATCTTTTTTCCATTTGATAAATAGGTAGGTTTTGGTTAACATTAAATCCTTACAAAAATTTCTCAGTCTTACAAAACCCACTTGAAGCCTTTGCCGCGATGAGCATCCAGTTTTTATTGTTCTCCATGCTGTATGAATTTTACTTTATTTAATTGCTGGTGATTATTATAATTTGCTTCTTCCAGAATAGTTTATAACTGGTTAGTGACTGAAATCCCATGCAATTGCTTGAGAAATCTTGCCCGAAAACTATCACAGTGTGGAACAGAGAGGGAGGTTTACAGGATTTAGATATTTGCACTAATTGTTGTGTTTTAAGTGTTTCTGCTTCTTCCATCCATCATGTTGTGTTTTGTCAAGCCCGAGACATGGACAAAAGGAATGAGGGAAAACCTGGAGAAGCAAGGGCTGTTTTTAGGCGTTCTGTTAGGGAAAATGGGTGTGTCTCTCTAAATTTTATACTAAACACCTTCTGTATTAATTTTACAACTTTAAAAATGACAATACTAATAAAAATGAAAGATGATATAGTATATTATGGATAATGATTTATAAGTGATAGGGTTTATATAGATATATAGACATATAGAAGAGATAAGGAATAAAAATGAATGTTCACGGTAATATTTGATATTTTAGTCTTATTTTAGAATTAAATAAGACAAGTTTGATTTTAGTGCTTCTCCAATATCAATAGTTATATTTTGCTGGGACCAATAACAATATATTTCCTAATTTAGTTGCTTTTTTTATTCGTAGATGATTGATTGAAGTAATTAATTGAAACATTAAACTGCAGACCCTAGAATTCAGCAATTCAAACAACGTCATGTATTCTCACTAGGTCCTGTTTGGGCTCTTTGAGTGGGGACATCGATCCTCCTGGGTATTGTTCTAAGGAAATTTTCTTGTATATTATCATTGGTATATTTTTGGTTTGTCAATACAAGGGGTTGGATGATATATATATACTATAAATTTGTCCTAAGCACGATG